GTCTCTATCAATCCTTGCTCTTGAAATTGTGGCCCATGCCTGTACTGTTGGATCCTCCCAAGATAACCTACAACCAAGCCAATTTGATGTGTTGCCAGAGTTGCCTGAATCTTTTTGTCTGATGGTGGTGGAGTTGGTGGTATGATGTCAACTGTGGGGTCTCGACATCCTCTCTAGCGTAATTGACCTGTGTCTGGAATCGGTGTCTCGATCCTCTCATCCTGTGTTGTCACTAGAACAGGTTCCCACTGACGAAGCTCTGTTGGTAAGAGTTCCAGTGATCTTGGGCTCTGCTGAAGGGAGTAGAATGATGTGTTTTCCCTTCTTGGTAAATGAGTGTGTTTCTGGATCCATCGTGTTGAGTCCTCCTTTAAACTGTCACGGTCGTCCCAAGAGGAGGTGGCAGGCATCCATAGGGACCATGTCACATCACACCTAGTGCTGTAATTGGCCTCCTATCTAGAACTCTACCAAACATCTCTGGTAAGTGTTGATCCAATCCTTTTTCACCCATAATAGTGAGTATGATTAGGAGTGTCTTTGAGTCGTGAGTTCCAATTTCTCTATCATTTGATTCGATGCTGCATTCTTGTTGCTCCCACCGTTGATGATAAAACTGCATACATTTCCATTCACCGTGCAGCGGGCGTAGAAAATGTTGTGGTGAAGCCATTGCGGATCCCTCGTGTCAATATTAGCCTCGTCGAATTAGGAGTGCCTCTCATTCATCTGGGGGAAGGTGGCGTATCTCACTCCGGTCCTCCACTTTCTCCTCCTCGCTAACCTGCTCCACGGTGCCCCGATCGGTAAATGACTTCTCTGCTCGTCGGACAGCTGGCGATTAGGTGACCGTAATCGTGACATCTGTAACACTTCCTGGATGACACAGTGTTGGAGGAGCTACCCTTCTTCTGTTTCTTCCCGTCTGATTTAGGTGGAAGAAAATGTTGGACTAAAGGTAAATATGCTTGGAAGGGCAAAAAATTTGATTTGACAATGCTACAGATGCGCTTATTAAAAATCAATGGTGTAGAACGAGCCCCAAAAGATGATGGCATTTTTTTTTCTTCATAGATTATCTTACCTCAATTGTTTTTGCAACCATCAGTTGAATTGTAACATTGTTGGCTTTCTTGTTTTCCAGCTTCTTTTATATATATTTTGATGGAGTAAAGTGTCATTATAGTCCTTTGACTATTTACATGGGGCATCTTAGTCCTCGAGTCTATAGAAGTGTCAAATTATTCCCCACGCTCTTTTCATATGGGCTGAAATAGTATCATTGGGAAACTATTTAGCCCCCATTAAAAGAGTCTCGGGACTAAATTGATATTTGTATAGACTCTAGGACTAAAATAACCTATTGCAAAAAGTTAGCAGACCTTTTTAACACTTTTCTCTGTTTTGATTATTTTATAACTCTCTTTAAACTCAGTTGAACTAAACTAACTTTACAAATTATTTTTTTACATTGGTTAACCATGCAAATCCTCACATTTCCTTATCACATGCTCACATAGAGATTCCAAGGTCGCACTTATGGCATCCTTCGAACCTCGGATGCCGATCTCGATGTTGAACTTGAGTCCGCACAAAACCATCACAATGATTTCAATTTCAGCGAAATATTTGTGCATCAGATGATTCATTCAATTGAATTTGTTCTGGGAGCGGTCTCAAATACGGCATCTTATCTTAGGCTTTGGGCTCTAAGGTATTTCTCCTACATTTTTTTTTGTTTTTTTTCCAATACTTTTTTTTTTTCTGTCATGCTTAGCATTTTGTTTTTTGCAGCTTGGCACACTCAGAGCTATCAACTGTTTTCTTTGAGAAAATACTGCTTCTTGCTTGGGGGTAAGCTTTAAATTTTATGTATTTGAGTTTCTCTAATGATTTTACGTGGCTACGCCTTTTGCGATATTGTGTAAAGGGTGACATTTATTTAATCTAACTATGAAAAAGTATCAAAGTTTCAAAGGCTTTGTCACTGTTTTTAGCCATATACATTTTCTAACCACCTTATGTATTTACATATCTAACACCAAAACTTTATTTGTTACTGTGCTACCGAAATTTTTCATGTCACGTCTGATGTGAAACCTTTCCCACACATTTATCTCGTAGTATCTACTACAGTACTGCAGGAAAATATATCGTTGGGTCGTCGAAACAGTCCCACTGTCCTCTCTTATGCTTTCTTTCCTATATCTTTCATTCCTTGTGTATACTTTCTTATATGTGTGATGTATTAGGGTTTGGAAGTCAGTTTTTGAATTATTTTCTGTCAAGACAGCCGTCGACATCCAAATTTTCTCGTTCCAGTGATGTATCCAAAGGCGAGAAAGTGTTGAGATTGTAACTCGTTTGAGACGGTAACTGTCTCCCAAGAGATGAGTAGTGTGCTCCGGTTGTAGCTCGCTTCTGCGGGGATATTTATCCCGTTTCTCACATTCAACTGCCAACTCCATCCTTCTCTACTCCTTGCTACTGTCGTTGCTCCCAGCCACCTGCTTCGTTACTTTCGTTGTCCGAGCGCCCCACCTACGTTGCCTCTACCCTGCCACTCCTCTTTGTTGTTCTACCCTTGTCTTATCATCTAACTTCACCATCGTAACTCCGCAAGCCTTTTCCTCGTGTTCCTATTGCTCTCCAACTATCTGGCGATGTTGTTGCATCCCCAAATCTTCTCTACTTGCTGTTGTGAGCCTACCCTACCCTTCCAATACCCTGCCACCTCCCTCCTGTTACAGCCATCTCACCATGCTCGGCTGTCGACAACCTTCCTGCCATCGACAGTCAATTGGAGTTGTCCCTTGTTGCCTTCCGACCATTCTCCTACGTCCATGTGTGCTTTCCTCCTTGAAGCGCAGTACCACCACCCTCGACCTATGCCTATTTGAGTTTGTGTAACGTCTTCTTCTGCTATTTTCTAGTTCCAAGTGCCTTTGGTTGTAATCCCTATTTGATTTAAGTAATAAAAATAGCATTTTGAAATAAAAATTACATTTTTGTTATCATTTGGGTTAACATCGGCATCAACATAAAAATATCACAATTTTTACTTTTAAGAAGTGAAATACACCTTTTCTTGCATAAGTAAGATGACATATATGTAAAAATTGAAATTTTATGTTAGATATGTAAATAAATAGGAATTTATTGGTATGTATGTAAATCTTCCTTTGTAAAATTAATATCTGCTTATGTAGTAAGTGGGCACAGAAATGCTTCTATATAAACATATAAAGAAATTTCACACTGAGACTACTTTATGCAACATGTAGTATACGAAATGTATAACATCTCTTTTTGGGACTCTATTATTGCATTTTAAATGAGGAGATTTTCCATGAAATTTTATAGTTGAATTCTTTCTATCCTTTAGCAATTATAAAGGTGCAAACTAGAGAAGGAATGAAATTAGGGTATTTGCCGCCATGTTTCACTGAATGTTTTGCTTTTCTCACCTTTATTCGCAATTTTGGATTCAAATGACTTGAAAGAATTAATATATATGATATTTCTTGAAGAAAAAATTTTATTGGAGAAGATTTAAAAGGACATTTCGGTAGAGTGGTAGAAGATTTTAAAAACATTCATATTGGTTGTGATTTAGAGTGGCTAATGAAGAATTTATGACATTTGATTTTGCTATTGTTAGTTCTTTATTTTAAAAAAATTAACATATTATCACTTATAAGAATTTAACCATTCAGCATTGTTTATTAATTTTGGTTTTTAAGATGAAAGAATGAAACATGAAAAATATTATTATATATTGTCATAGAATTTGATGATGACATTTAAAAGACATAAATAAAATTATTTTCATGAGCAAACTATAAGATTTTAAAATTTGGAATGTTCATGAAGAAGTTAATATTATTTTCATGATAACGTAACGAGTACTATTAATCAAATTACAAAGAAGTTGGTTGGGAAATCAAAAGTTAAAATTTTTATGAATAAAAATAGTTTGTGAAATAATAACTTGCAAGAAACAATAAAAAGTAAAAAATTTTGTCATAAATATTGGTTTAGATGTAAAAGTTTGGAGAATTGTAAAAAATATAAGGTGGCTTGTATGAAGTTTCAAGAGAATAATTTGTGATGATAAAAATTCTGCTTTTAGTGGTCTTTATAATATATTAGATACTAAATATGATGAAAGATATATAAATATATATAAAGTAATAAGTAAATAGAGAAAAAATATAAAAATTTAGTTCAAGTAAAATATATTAAGGATAAAAATAAAAAAATTATTTTCTTAAATGAGAATATTCAAGATAGCTAGGTGAGATATTTTGATAATTTTTTTAATGAAATTTGTAAAATTATAATAGACTTTAGTTATCTTCATATCATAAATCATAACAAATTTTTTTTTTTATTTCTGCCTTCACGATAGTAAATCGAAAGTTGAGGGGGTTTTAAAGAAAAAGAGTGTGTAAAAGTAGTAGTATATGATAGTATGCTAATAGAAGTGTGGAAATGTTTAGGAGATCTAGTATTTTTTTTTTCTTATTATTTTTAATATTATTTTAAAAATTAAAAAATGCCTAATATGTGGAGAAAGTGTATGTTAGTTCATTTTTTTAAGAATAAATGGGATGCACAAGAGTATGAATTATAGACGCATTAAATTAATATGTCATACATTAAAGTGATGAGAGAGTAATTGAACATTGGTTATGACATGGTGCAAAAATTTCTCAAAATCAGTTTGGATTCATATTAGACAAGTTTATTATGGATGTTATACATTTATTGGGAGGTTTGATGGAGAATTACAGCGATGATAAGGAGGATAAACATATGATTTTTGTTGATATAGAAAACCCTTATGATAATATTCCAAGATAAGTACTTTAGAGAGTTTTAGAAAATAAATTATTGATATTGCTTATATTCGTGTTATTAAAGATATGCATACTAGAACTTTTGCTTATGCTCGAACACAAGAGGTATTGACCAAATGTTTTCCTGCTTCAGTTGGATTACATCACGGATCGACTTTAAGCCCATATCTTTTTGCTTTAATTATAGATGTTCTTACTGGACATTTAGAGAAGGATGTACCTTAATGTATGTGTTGCGTTGATGATATATTTCTTTTGGACCAGATTAGAGAGAGAGAGAGAGAGCTTAAGAAAAATTTAAATTATGGAGGCCAACTCTAGAGTCTAAAAAAGGCTTTCGTTTGAGTAGATCTAGAACAGAATACATTGAAAGTAATTTAAGTGGTAGTAGATCTAGTGGTGGGGTTGTAACTATGGGTAATCAAGTCCTTAAAAGGAGTGAATATTTTAGATATTTCAGGTCAATTATTCCAAGTGTGGGTGATATAGATGAGAAATATTATTAGTAGAATTCAAGTTGGATAGTTGAAGCGGAGGAATGCATCCAACCTATTGCGTGATAGAAAAGTCTCGCTTAGACTAAAAAGGAAAATTTATAAGATGGTGGTGAGACCTGCAATGCTATATGGCACAGGATATTGACTTGTAATAGAAAATCATAAAATTAAGTTAAGTGTTGTTGAGGTGAGAATGCTCAAGTGGATGAGTTGCTTAACACTTAAAGACAAAATGCACAAACTTAGAGACAAAATGTAAAACGAATATATCCGTGAAAAGGTTGGAGTTGCTTCTGTGGCAGAGAAGATTAGAGAGAATCACCTTAGATGGTTTGATCACATTAAATGTCGACCAATTGATGACCTAGTTAGGAGAGTGGATTTTTTAGATTTAACTTATGTTAAAAAAAGTGGAGGTATATCTAAAAAAACTTGGACATGTTGTATAAAAAATGATCTTGATTTATTATTACTAAATGAAAATGTTGCATCCAATAGGACACAATGGAGAAAAATGATTTATGTAGCCGACCCCACTTAGTGGGATAAAGGCTGGTTGTTGTTGTAATTACAATTTAGGACTCATAATAGAGAAGTCTCTCCTTGGTCTTGCTAGCTTTGTTCCATTTTTAATTTGAGGGATTTAGAAAGAAAATTCTGTGTTTTTTTAACTGTTTCATCTAAAAGGGCATTTTTCTAGTTATAAATTAATTTGTACTTCTTAAATTAACGATAAATAAAACGAGCTTTCCCTCTTTTTTTTTCCTTAAATTTTAGGGGCATTTAAATACTTACCACCCAATTCTTATTCATTTACATATCTAACACCTATACTTTACTTTTTAGATTTATTCTACCAAAAATTTTCATATTTCATCAAAAATAGCACTTCAACTTTTAAAATGTGAAATACACATTTTCATATATAGATTAGGTGGAGTGTACCTAAACGTTAAAGTTTAGGTGTTAGATATGCAAATACATAGGAATTAAGTGGAGCAGTGCAACTCAATAATGTCCGGTTTCTCTATTTACATCAATGATTTTGTTCCCGAATGCTTCACCATGTAAGTCATTAATTTAGATGATGCAACATCTCATCTCTTTTTTTCTTTTTAGCACATACTCTAAAATCAAGGTTTTCAGGCTTCCACTGTTTTCAACTCAAAGAAATCTCAAACAGATCTGTCGAAAAATTTGGATCAAGAAAAGAAAAAAATTGTGAACGATAGAATCTACTAAAATAATCATGAACTGCTGGAAAACTCTGGGGAAATTACATTTCATGATCCAAACATGCTTGTTCATGTGTTTATACTTCTTTTCTTGAGGGAGCTCAAAAACAGTCTGGAAAACCATCTTAATCTAGTTAAAATCATCCTATGATGCACCGATACAGACACAACACGACACGGACACGTGAAACTTTGATTATTTAAAATATAGGATGCAAATATGCATAGGACATGGTATTATAATATAAAGGTACGATTACATACATACCACTCAAGAAAATGTGTATTTCACTTTTAGAAATTAAAATAGTGGTATTTTAGACGTGATATGAAAGATATAGGCACGAACACGTGGCACTTCGATTATTGAAATTATAAGATGCAGACATGCATCGGACATGGTATTATAATATAAAGGAAAGATTTACATACCATCCAATTCTGATGTATTTACATATCTAACAGACAAGCTTTATTTTTTTCATTTATGCTACCCAAATCTTTCATATCACATCTAAAATACCACTATTTTAACTTCTAAAAATGAAATATATATTTTCATGCATAGATAAAGTGGCATATGTATAAAAATCAAAGTTTAACTTCTAGATATATAAATACTAACGAATTGAGAAGTGTATATGTAAACCTTCCTGATATAAAGGGATATGTATAAAAATCAAAGATTAACTTATAGATATATAAATACTAATGCATTGAGAAGTGTATATGTAAACCTTCCTGATATAAATTATAAAACATAAATAAAGTTTAAATAAACAGAACATTAAGAACAGTAAAGAAGAGAACAAGAAATAAAATAATATTAACTTTCAAAAGCTAAGAAATCCATAGACGTTATTTAGTTTATAATATAAAAAATTAAGCACTAAATATCTTATATTACATCAAGATTAATTTAACTCTTAATTAAAAAAATGTCTTTAAATTTTTTATCTTAAAAATATATTTTTAGAATTTTTTAATTCATTACTTTAGAACACACTTGTTTTTTTTAATATTTTTTAAATTGGACACTTCTATACCGTGTCCGACATGTGTCGGAGCCATGTATGTATCCGATACATATCCGACATTGCTCTACTTCTTAATTAGGAGTGCTTATGTATCATAGCTGGTATCTGAGCTAGAAACATGGAATTAAAATTTAATGCTTTAGCGTTTGGCCAAAATGGCATAACAAATTCCTACTAAACTGTCATGTCAGTACTCTTTAATCAAAATCAACTAGACTATCAGATTTATAACATTGAAATTCTTCAGTTATTCAAATTCTACATCCTTCTATAATCATTCAATTATCAGATTCGGAATTGCTTTTCACTATGGTTACACGATTGTTGCTTTGATTTCTTCTCTGTAAAAGCCTGGGATTCACTAATCTATTTTAACAGGTACAACAGCATCGTAATTCGTCTCGTCGGACTTGCTGTCTTCGCATTTGCAACAGCATTCATATTGCTCATGATGGAAACATTGAGCGCGTTCCTCCATGCTCTTCGTCTTCACTGGGTTGAATTTATGAACAAGTTCTACCATGGTGATGGCTATAAATTTAAGCCATTTTCATTCTCCTCGTTGGCCAATGAGGAAGAATGACCAATGACTCCTCTGCTACAGCCTTTGATTCTTACTGGTAAATCCTACAGAAAAGAGAGAATTACAAAAAGTAAAAGGTAAATAAGCTGCAAAAGGAACATATATGCATCATCTCTACTTTAGAAAATACGAACCTTGTTTCGAGATTTTCGCCGTAGGAACGAAACTTAGCTGCTGGAAGAGATTATTTGTACATTTATAGGCCCGGAAATCGCCATTTTGACAGAGGATGGATTTCGTATTCAGGTTATTTTCTGTATCTTCTAGGAAAGGTTTATCTTAACACCAATAGCAATATTGAACTCTCCAATTTTTAGTCTCTCTTTCTTTTTTCATTCCTCTCCTTATGATTGATTGACCTATTCTCTTAGTGGAACCTTTTTTTTTCTTTTTAATTTATACAGTCTCATGTTGCCATTTTATTTTTTATTTGTACTGGTATGCCTCTCTAGAAATGGCATTTTTTTTATTTTTTTATTTTTACATACAGCCCACCAGAATTTAAATATAATGGATTGACCACCCAAACTTATACAGGTCAGTATAAGTGATTGTTCAGTAAAAACTCCCTTTTTTTCATGATTTCTTTTATGGCTATAATCTCAGAAGTTTGTTTTTTTCTCTATAATAATCTCCTGGTTATATTCCTTGTACTGACCTGTATAACTATTATATGATGCTGTTGTACAATGCTGGGGTTGCATGAGAAATTTCTGCTGCAGTAGTTCGGTTTGTAATGTTTGCAGCATTTACAAGACTGAAGGGGCTCTACTTTTTAAATTTTTATAGAAAGATTTGCATACATAACTCTTAATTCTCATTTATTTACATATCTAACACTTTTAACTTAAATTTTTACATGTATATCACTTTTCATATGCATGAGATGGAAATTTGGGATTATCACATACACAGCACCGAAACATTGTTATTTTTAAAATCTAGCACCCATGTGATAATTTTGAATTACCAAATCGATGTATTTATGCGTGTCACGATCAAACCATTGAGAATGTGATAAAAATGAAAAATATGGGTTGGGTTTGTATCCTGAATTTTGATATTTGAGTGAGAATTTGAAAAATGGATGAAAGAGAGTGCTAGATTTGTAAATATCAATCTTTCGGGTGCTATGTTTGTAACTGCCCCTAGAAATTTTTTAATTACTGATTTGAGATTTTCAGTTCATACTTCTGCTTCCATAAACATTGCCAGCATTTATGTCTTAGCAGTCCTAATCTTCTGAAGTATTATAGTTTCATCTGTCCCTTGTGAGCTTCATTTTCTGTGATGTGTGAATTGTGAAACCCTTACAGAGAACGAAGGTCAACTCTTAAACATCAAGGCATAACTCAAAATTTAAGTGTGCTCATGTGCGAACGCTCTCAAGATCGAAAAATTATTACATCCGGATGATCTACATTCGGATTAGATGTAGATGGTGTTATTGGAGGTATTATTGGTAACATTGTGGTGTTATTTTGATATTATCATCCGCATATGAAATTATATCAGGACTCCTTATGGAATATTTTCTCCTCAAGATAGGTGAGAGTTAGGCTTGTTACAAATGATGTTGAGAAGTTACGCAGGCTTGAAGATGATAACCAAGTGTATGTATAATAAAATATCAACGTCATGGGGGTTGTCTCTTGAATCTAGATGTGACAAAATGTTTCACCTCTTGAACCTGGATGGGACAAAATGTTGCACGATAAGAGTCATATAGTAAATATATAGGGGGACA